GGTTATTCATCAAAGCTCCTATATTAGGACCCCAGAACAGAATGGAGTTGCTGAAAGAAAAAAGACATATTGTTGAAGTTGCAAGAAGTATTCTATTTGCCTCACATGTCCCTACAAAATTTTGGGGTGATGTTGTTCTCACTGCTACCTACCTTATAAACCGTATGCCATCCAGGGTTTTAGGGTTTAAGTCTCCCTTCAGTCTTCTTCATCCAGACAAGGATCTTTCTTCTATTCCTCTTCATGTATTTGGATGCACTTGTTATGTACATATCCCAAGTGTCCAGAGACATAAACTTGAACCAAAAGCCCACAAGTGTATATTCCTTGGTTATTCCCCCACATAGAAGGGTTACTATTGTTTTGATCCGAAGACTGACACTTGGTATGTCTCAATGGATGTCACCTTTGATGAGCTTTCTTCCTATTATGGTTCTTCTCTAGAGAGACATTGTCCAAAGGGGGAGGATTTGTCATAGGTGTTTGCTCTTCCCCTTCCTGTCCTAGTTGAGTCTTTTGCTAAGTCTCTTCCTCCTTCAAATGAGTMAAGAGAGGATCAGTCACTTCACTCTCATTCCAGTGTTCCTATTCCTCCTCTTTTACCTCCTCGCCCTCTTTTTAATCCTAGGTTGTACCAATGGCAGAGAACCAGAAATGAGCAGATTGTTTCCCCTACAACACTTGAGCCTCATGCACTTCCAGTTACAGAAGACATAATAGGTACTGTTTCAGCCCCTTTGGAGCCATCCTTCCCAGACCTTGATATCCCCATTGCTATTAGGAAAGGAAAAAGGAAGTGTACTGCACATTGCATTTCCAAACACCTTTCTTATAGTTTGCTCTCTCCTTCATATTTTGCCTACCTTTCTTCTGTTGCTTCTAACCCAATTCCCAGGTTTGTGTCAGAAGCTCTTATTATTCCAGAATGAAGGGATGCTATGAGAACAGAAATTGATGCCCTGCACAAGAATGACACTTGGGAAGTGATTGATTTGCCTGAAGGGAAGGATCCAGTAGGTTGTAAGTGGGTTTTTACTATCAAATATCATGCTAATGGCACCATTGAAAGGTACAAGGCTAGGCTGGTTGCAAAAGGCTATACACAGACATATGAGATTGATTATCTAGAGACCTTTGCCCCTATTGCCAAGATGACTTCTGTGAGAGTTCTGCCATCTTTGGTTGCACACTCAGACTGGACACTTTATCAACTAGATGTAAAGAATGCATTTCTGAATGGAGAGTTACATGAAGAGGTCTATATGTCTCTTCCTCCAGGGATGTATGAAACAGACATGAAAGGAAAGGTCTGCAGGCTAAAGAAATCTCTTTATGGACTCAAACAATCCCCTAGAGCATGATTTAAAGGCTGCCCTTGTTAGCTTTAGCTATGTACAGACACAGCCTGATCATACCCTCTTTGTGAAGAGGAGAGGATCCTTGGTCGTTTACCTGATTGTGTATGTTGATGATATTGTTGTGACTRKTAATGATGTMTCAGGGATTAATGATCTCAAATCTTTCCTTCATACAGAGTTTGAGATCAAAGATCTGGGGGAATTTGGATACTTTCTTGACATAGAAATTGCTAGATCCAAGGAT